CTAGGAGGCAAATGTGATGTCAAAAGGGCATAAGCAGTTTCTCTCCTTTTCACTTTTTTTTTTTTTTTTAATGGAAGAATTTGAAGCCAACTTTTCCCATCCTCTGCTGCGCAAGTTGCAAAAATGATTGTTCCATTCTATTCAGCACTGGGGAGGCCACATCTGGAGTCCTGTGTCCAGTTTTGCTGCCCTCCCCACTGCAAAAAAGATGTGGACAAATATGAGAGAGTCCAATGGAGGGCAACAAAAATGGTTATGGGGCTGGGGGACAGGACTGGTGAGGAGAGGCTGATGGACCTGGGCTGATTTAGTCTGCAGAAGAGAAGACCGAGGGGGATTGAATAGCAGCCTTCAGCTCCCTGCAGAGGGGTGCAAAGAGGATGGAGCTGGGCTGTTCTCAGTGGGGGCAGGTGACAGGACAAGGAGCAATGGGGTCAAGTTGCAGCAAGGGAAGTTGAGGTTGGATATCAGGAAAACCTCTCTCACTAGGAGGCTAGGAGAGCACTGGAATGGGTTACCCAGAGAGGTTGTGGAGTCTCCATCCTTGGAGGCTTTGAAGACTCAGGTAGACAAAGTCCTGGCTGGGCTGATGTAGTTGGGGCTGGTCCTGCTTGGAGCAGGGGTTGGACTAGATGTGGCCTCCTGAGGTCCCTTCCAGCCCTCATTGTCGGTGATTCCAGGAACTGTTCATGCCCACATCGTTACCTCAAACCTGTATTCAGCTTCCAAAATAAATGGTGAAACTCTTTTGGGTGCTGGCCCCTCGCTGGGTCTTGCTGCCTTCCCTTTGAGTGGTTAGTGTGCAGTGCCTATGAAAAAAGCACATTTGCCTCCTGGCAACTGAGGCAGACAAACAGCAGGTGCTTTGCAGATGTTGGCCTTAATTTCTCTGTACCTCAGTTTTAATGCTCTTGCTGTGACTTAGGGAGTTTAAGCCTGAGTCTGTTTGTGCACTGTGCAATGGCAAAGGGGTGCATGTGCATAGCTCCTTATCCAGTTAAGGATCCAGAGCAATTTTGGCTCTGACCCCTTTTCTTGTTGCTCACTTAAAAAAAACCCACTTCTGCCTTTTCACACTGAAGTTGTCCATGATGAGACCAGCATGACTGCATGAGTTTGAGTCCAAATCTGGCCTTTGAGTGAGAGGAAAGCAAACGCATATAACATATAAAATTAAATCTATATAAATTTGGTAGTGTCTCACATTTGGGTGGTTATAAAGAAGATGGCAATGGACTATTTCCTGTGTTCACACAGGACAGGACAAGAAGGAACAGGCTTAAATAGGAACAAGAAAGTTTGGGTTGCATATTAGGAAGACATTTCTAACGCTTGGGGTGCATCGGCAGCAAAGCAGCTTCCCCAGGAAGAAGTCTCTATCAATGAAGGGGTTTAAGAGCATGTTGGACAAGCACTTTGGGATGGTTTAGATAGGGATGATCTCACCTTGAGTAGGGGCCTGGACTAGATGCAACCTCCTGCCAGCCATATTTTTGTATAACTGGCAGCTAAATAATTTGTGGGGGGTCGTGTGGTATGTTAAACCTCCAGGATAATGGCAGGATATAGATCCTTGCCTCTTGCATAGTCCCTGGACCAGGGGTTGGCAGTGTTTTCTGAGGTGGACTGTCTCAGGTGGACTGGTGCTAAGCCTGGCTGCCACTGCCACTTTTCCTGCCGTCCCTCCTCTCCACTGTCTGGCCACAGCAGGTCCTGGGTGGAGCACCTGGCCCTGGGACAGCAAATGCCACCGAAGCTGTAAGTGGGACCAGGATGTTGCTGGCACTTGCTCTGGCTATGTCATCACCTCCACGCTGCCAGGAGATATAATGATGTGCTCTCTGAATGGGGTGGGCACAGGGGCCTGTGGGAGAAGTGCATATGATCCCGTCACAAGCCTTTGTATGCTGCCCTGTTGGCCACGGTTATTATGCACTAAGGACTAATTCCTCCATTCCTTCCCACAAGTCCTGCACCACTGACTGCTACATGAGGGACTCCCTGCAGCTAGAGGATCACAGTTTGCTGTGCCAAGCTCCTTCCCCTGCTATTCCATCTCTGCCAAGCTCCTGTGTGCCTCTCTCCTGTCCCCTCTCCCCTACTTCTGCGAACTTAAATGTGCATCATGTCACCCCTGATGCACTCTTCTCCCTGGGAGATGAGTGACTGAGTGAATCAAGGGCTGTTGGTTGTAGTCCTGTTGGTCTAAGGACATAGGCAGATGAGGTTCTTGGGGTAAACATGATATCTTTTATGAGACCAATTAAATAGTTGGAAAGATTGTTCTTTGCAAACTTTGGGGCAAAAAGTGAAGGGTGTTTGTGCACAAAAGCTTGCAAAGAACAATTTTTCCAATTTTTTAGTTGGTCTCATAAAAGATATCACATTTACCCAAAGAGCCATGTCTGTTGTGCATCAACACATTCAGCAGTGGGTTGATGATGTGGGGGGTGTCAGGGTCTGGAAAATGCTACCAGCCGTCACTTCTCTGGCCTGTCGGGTCTGATAGGCTCCCATCTGCATTGCCTTGAGCCAGGCAGGTGGAGAGAGGCTGAGCGTAGGGCAGCACTCGTCTAGACCAGCTAGGGCCCCTCTCCGGTTGTGTGGCTGGCCTTGATTTGGTCGTGCTTCTATGACCGGAAGGTAGAAACATTTTCTATGATTCGCTGCTCGACTTTGCTCCTGGACCTCCTTTAGCGCCGGTATTTGGGTGCGGGAGGTTTGTGCTATGTAAGACGCCTTTCACTTGGCCAGCCAAGTCATCTATCAGTGTCCGGGGTCACAGCAGGACCCTTTTGACTCCTGTTTCCTGCTGGGTCCTGCCGACCTGTGGGCACTCTCTGGTTTCCAGTGGAGGCGATGGGACTGGAGTCCCAGGCACAGCGGTACTCTGCTCAGAGGTCCAGAAATGAAGGGTCCAGTTTCAACGGAGAACTCAACAGTTCGGTGGCTGTATCCGACAAGATCATGGCTCTGGGCAGTAGCGCTTCCCCCGCCACAGCGATGAAAGTGGCTCTGAAGCGTGCAGTGCCATGTGGCTATTCAGACCCCAATGTCCTCCTCATAAGCACTCTGTCTTTCTGATGCCATGAATCTAATTATAAATGACATAAGCCCTAGGAAAGGACATCGATCTGGCTTTGAAACCTCACAGGTGGCTATGCAAGCGTGTCCTCCGTGTCAGCTGCTACTGCGAATGACAGGAATTCATGGCTACACCAGGCCATGCTGGACTTGTGGACGTACCCATGCATTCAGGCTTTAGCACCAAAAGCACCGTAATAAAATCATCCTCTCTCAATCACCCTCTCAGCCCTTCTGCTTTATCTGTCTTTAGCATCTTTCGTTTGAATCATGCCCATCTCAAAGCAATTCACACCGTGCCCCCTTGGCTGCGATCTCATGGGATCTTGTGCAACAGGCAGTTACCACCTGTTATACAGGAAAAGGGCTGAAAGAGATAATTGCATGCCTGAGAAATGGCTTCATTTCCACTCCAAAAGTATGGCCTTTATTGTGGATTCACCCTTCTAATACGTTTTTACTTCTTCATTCATATATTGCCATTTGGGTCAGACTCTTTCTTTTCCTAGATGCTGCATTTTGTCAAATTATTAAAAATGTGGAGAGTACCAAAGCAGCAAATCTGCCGTGCTCTGTGTCTCATCACAGAACTCTGTATAGCTTTGTGCTTTGCTGCTTATTCTGAAACCTTGTCTTTTATCTCTCTCCTGCCTCCTCCACGCCTGGAGAAACATGAGCCTGAGAAGCCTCACAGGTTTTCAGACTCTGACAGATCACCAAATAAATAAATGGGCAGTACATTGATTGCTGTGTCACAGATTACTGAAAGCAGCATTGGTCCAAGGTCCAGAGCTTTTATATTTAGCTTGGGACCGCTGCCAACAAAAAGCTCTGCTAGACTGAAGAATCAGTGACAAATGTAATGCTGATGCATTGTGATCCGGCAGACTACAGAAGCACGATTTATGCCACTGGAAAGCCAGGAATCCTCTTTTAATTGCTTCTAAACCTGGCAGTTCCAGGCTGTTGACCGAATGTCTTTCTGACTATCATCTTGTGTTTTCCCCAGTTCAACTCTAACCTGATTTTAGTGACTGCAACCAGAAGAATCTTTCGATGTGAAAACCAGTGTTTTATGCTCTCCGTAAACTGGCCATCCCGGCTTTCAAACCGTATAAAGCATTAATCACTATTACGAGTTATTAATACAAAGCTGCTGCTTCCACTCCCCTGGAATTGCAGCAGCGGGGGAACAGGATGGCAGCGAGGTTTACGTGACTCTCAAGTTCTGGCTTATCTCGACCCATCGGTAAAAATGCTTTCCAGACCCCTGAGGTTTGTGGCAAGTGTCAGAAGTTGTTCAAACCTCAGTGCAGAGAATCAGACAGTGAGGGCTGGTTGTTGGGGTGGACTGAAAATGGGGCATGGAGCCTGTTAGGTCCACCTCAGACATCAGGAGTGACAGCGGGTCATTGACAGCCATTCGGCCATGCTCCATCCCGGACTTTTCTGCCCTCTCCACTGAGACTCTCAAATATTCTCTTCCAGGCTACAAAGCAAAACCATGAATGTCTAGAACCTCCCCCTTGAGATGATACACAAAATAGCTTCCACCACCTCCAAAAGCCCACCCTTGTACAGCTGCTCTTGGAGGGGGAGAGCTTGAAGGTGAGAGGGCTATTGGGCTCGCATGGGCTCTGGTGACTTCGAGGTCTCCATTCAGCAAGCCAACTAAGCACTGAAGTCTGTGCAATAGGAAAGGTGCAGTCTGAGTTGGTAGCCACAGTAAAGACTATCACCGGGGTGGCTGTTGTTCTGGGTCAGATTCAAACTGGGCACCTGGAGTTGCAGATCTCTTGAGCCATCCCAGTCTCTATCAAGCGTGGCCATTGGTGCAGCAAATTCCAGCATGAAACATGTAGTAAATCCTGGCTTGTCTAGCTGTCTAATGCCTCCTGTTTGTGTCTTTGACTTAGCTACCCACTGCTCAAGCTCCCGTTACCTGGAACAGGACCTGTGGAGTACAGTACCCCTGTGAAGGACTACGCTCCACCTTCTTTGGCGCCCAGCCCCCGGCAAGGAGACCCCAGTGAGAGGCCCGATTGGGTAAGCATGCACTACTGCGGTGTACATGAGTGCATGGGGCCTCTCCAGTGCCTTGTGCACCTTTGTGCCATGAGCTGGTGGCACACCTGATGATTTCTGCACCTCGCATGGTCTGTTCTGAGTCTCACATGCTACCAGGAGTCGTTCCAAGCAGCCAGAGTAGGTAAAAGCTGTCAGGAGCTGTTTGTTGAGGATTTGCTTGCCAGGGAGAAAATGGATAATTGTAGCCCGAGGCCAGCATGACGTCTCCTCAATTGCTCTTCTCAATTTTTCCTCAGTTGTTTTAAGTGAATTTAGTTGCATGTGCTGGATTGATAGGCCAGGAGGCAGTGTTATGTCACCAGCCCAACAGGTGCATCACAGACTGTGGGAGAGGAAGCTACCCTGTTCTTCCTCTGCCCCATCACCTTGCTGCTGCTGCTTAAAGTTCCCACTGATAAGGGGTAGGGCAGGGTCACTTCTTGTTTATTATCTGATGGCCTTGATACTAGGGATGCCGGTGGGCTGGGAGCTGGCTCCTGGCCTACCAACCAGCTGGCAACACATAGGCAGCTGAGCAGCTACCAGAACACAAAGGCTGCTGGTCGTGATCCGCCTGAGCTGGGACCAGGGTGGTGGTTGGGAGGTGAACTGATCTGTTCCTAATTCTTTGGGTCTTGTAGCTCACCCTCTGTAGGCTCTCCTTCCACCCCACAAAGCAGCTGAGCGTCTCCATCACAACAAGGAGCCTTTTCCTGGCGATGTTGCCAATCTGGCTCATGGCCAGTGTGAAAGCTGATTTCTTAAGGCCAAGACCAAGTATTTTCCATGCGACTTTAAGCAGCCACCAGCCCCAGCTGGCTGCCCCGGCATGACTAGCATGCTGTGTGCTAATGAGAGGAAGGATGAATACAGGGTTCACGCTGACCTGGGGAGGTAATTTGAGTTCCTTGTGTTGACTGGGATTGTGCAAATTTGAGACATATGGCCAAATGCATCGGGCGAGAGTTTACCGTGACTTTTGCATGAGCCGACTGGGACCTTTTCTCCGAGGTCAGTAACTGTAGTCAAAAGTCACCTTTTCTTGTATATTATAGCTCTGCTAGCATCCTCCATGCCCCTATGGCTCCAGTCTTTACATTCCAACACCTCTTTTAAGCAGAGACTGCCTAGTGTGTTAAAATTGCTGGAAAACCAGGATCTCCCTGCTTCTAGTGTGCTCTAGAAGCAGGGAGGTCCTGGTTGAAGCCATGTCTGTTTTCCCCCACACTCTTGCAGTTGCCCCAGTGCAGCCAGCCACAGCAGTTCTCATAATCAGGGCTGTTGGCTCAGGCTGCTGTTGGCTGGTAAAATCTCTTTTGCTGTGCCCATCCAAAAGCAGCCTGTAGCTTTCTAGTAAGCAGAACAAGTGGGAGGAATGTGGAGAACTCCTGACAGAGAGAAAAGCACTACAGGACAAAAACTACAAAGGCAGAAAACTGCCCTGAAAGTAAGGCAAGAAGAGAGAGAGGATGTGGTGGGGAGGAGGACAAGCAGGTATGGGTGGAGGGCACCTGTCCACCAGTCCTTCACAGGAGGGGCCTGCAGGAAAGGTTAGGAGTCAGTGCTCTGGCGTTTACTAAAGAGGTCCTTGCCTACCCCAGCTCCTTGCAGTCTCCGCATCCATCCGCTGTTCCCAGAAGGTAATTCCCCATTGTCCCTCTGCTTTCTTCCACAGTATGTTGGCGCTCCCGTGGCCTACATCCAGCAAATCTTCGTGAAAGCCACCGTCTCCCCCTGGCACAAGCACTTCCTCGCTGTTGATGTGTTTCGTTCACCGCTGTCCCGGGTCTTCCAGCTCGTGGAGGAGATTAGAAACCACGCCCTGAGGGACAGGTAGTTACAGTTTATGGATGTCTGCAGAAAGCGTGCCAGTGCCTGTCAGTGTTGTAAGGGCTCAGCTTCAGACCTAGTGCTCAGTGGGTCTGGGTCCAGCCATCAGGATTGAAATTCTCAGACTCTGGAAATAAGAGATGTGAGAATGGAGCTGGGCCTGATGGCAGGTGGCAGGCATCACTCACACCCATCACACCCTGCCCACCAGAGCACAACCCTCTTCAGAAAGAGCTGTCAGACGTCCTCCGGTAGCAGCCTTGGGGACACAGGGCTGGCAGGGACTTCCCAGATCACAGAGCCTGTTCCCCTGCTGTCACAAACAACCATGGAAATCATCCCTTTCACAGACAGCGGTCCCAGCACCTCTCATGGTTGGAAACCTCCAAGTTTCCAGCTCAAATCATGATTTGTGGTTAGTGTGTACCCATTTGTCCTTGTGCCAGCATTATCCTATAGCCTAAATCAGCCTTTTTAGACTCAAAGCACCCCTGAATGTCAAGGTACCCCTCAGAAAATGCCAGCTTTTTGTTTTCACTCCTTTTTGACTACAAAAAACACTAGAGCAATTCTTCTGTGGCAGAGAACTCAGAAAGACCATACCTGGGCAGCATGTTTCTAACACCATGGATTCCTTTTTGAAATCTCTGGAGTTTATCTTGTGAAACATGTTTGGATCTAATAGTGCTAGCATTGCATTGCACCCTTGAAAAGATCTCAAGGAACCGTAGGGTGCTGCATCCTCTTGGTTGAGCATCACTGGCTTAAATAGCTCTTCTTCCTTTCTGGTATTTATCTCCCTGTTGTATTTATAGAGGAGCAACGTTTGGCTAGGCTGGACAAGCCAAGCTTTTAGGCTTCCCACCTGAAGTCAGCTCTCTGTTTCTTTGATAACCCTAGTGGCTCTTCTCCGCACCTTTTACTGGCAGAATTCACTTTTCTTGGGTGACCAGCATGGGGCGCAGGATTTCAAAGGAGGTCTCACCACTGCAGTGTACAACTACATCACTGTTTCATCACTTCTGCTGGAAATACCTCTCCTGCCACATCCTACAAACTCGTTTACTTTCTTGCATGTCCACATTGTGTTGGTGGCTCGTGGTCACTCTGTGATCAGCCCATACTCCCATGTTTTCCTGTTCCTCGGTTGTTTCCAGCATATGAGTTCCCGGTCTGTCACAGGAATACTGTTTATTCACAGATTCACAGAAGTTTAGGGCTGGAAGGGACCTTGTAAGATCATTGGGTCCAGCCCCCGTGCTCTGGGCAGGAAAGACTCCTGGGAACAAATTTTACTGTCTAATAACATGGCATTGCACTTTGTGCTAATCATTTCATCCCGTTTCTGTTTCTCCAGTTTTCAAGGTCATCCAGTTTTCCTGTATGATATTCCAAGTTTCCTGTGTGTTGACAATACTTCCCACCACATGTCATCAGCAGATTTCATTAGTGCACTTCAACTTTTGTTCCCAAAGTCATTAAAGAAAATATTTAATCAGACAGATCCCAAGAGCAGTCCTTGAGGAGCTCTGCCCATCCCTTTCTGCCTTATAGTTCCAGTCTCAATCCCTAGCTTAACGAAAAATTTAGCACGCAGCATTGTATTAAAGGCTTTATTGAAGTCTAGATAGATTGAATCTACTGCACATTGCTTACCCAGAAAATCAGTTATTTTGTAAAGAAAGGCTTCAGAACTCTCTTGCCCAAGCCATTCATTGTTGGTAAACCCATGTTGCATATTATCCCCTTGCCAATTTCCCTCCATAGATTCATAGATGTTAGGGTCGGAAGGGACCTCAACAGATCATCGAGTCCGACCCCCTGCACAGGCAGGAAAGACTGCTGGGGCTAGATGACCCCAACAAGGTGCATGTCCAGTCGCCTCTTGAAGATCTCCAGGGAAGGTGGCTGCACCATGTGTGGGGAAATCTGTTCTAGACTCTGGACACATGAACCATAAGGAAGTTTTTCCTTTGTCTAATCTGAAGCAATTTTCTATCAGTTTACGACCATTATTCCTAGTCTTCCCCTGGGGCGCCTTGGTGAACAGATGTTCTCCCAGCCCCTGATGTTCACCCCTTATATACTTAAAGGCGTGATGAACTTACAGGCAGCCACAAGGTCGCCTCTCCACCTTCTCTTGCGGAGGCTGAAGAGGTCCAGGTGCCCCAGTCTCTCCTCGTAAGGCTTGGTCTGTAGGCCCTTAACCATACGAGTGGCCCTTCTCCGAACCCTCTCCAGGTTATCCGCATCCCTCTTGAAGTGCGGCGCCCAGAATTGCACGCAGTACTCCAACTGCGGTCTGACCAGCGCCCGATAGAGGGGAAGTATCACCTCCTTGGATCTGTTCGTCATGCATCTGCTGATGCACGATAAAGTGCCATTGGCTCTTCTGATGGCTTCGTCACACTGCCGACTCATGTTCATCTTGGAGTCCACTTGGAGTCCATGTCTTTAGTATTCTTTCCTTCTGGGTTTGTTGTAAAACCTTGCATACAGCGAAGGTCAGGCTGTTGGGTCTAGAGTTCCTCTGATCGTTTTTTTCTCCCCGCTTAAACATATGTTATTCGCCAGGCATATGATACCACACTTGCCTTGAAAGACTTATTGCTGCCAGCTTTGTGAGTTCAGGTGCTAGGTCTTTGGATGAAGATTATCTGGCTCCTTGGACCCATCAAGTTCTCTGAATGTTGCCTCCCCCACACGTGTGGTGATTTCCTTGTTCATTTGTCCTCGCTCTTATTAGCCATCTTGCCTTTGCCCCAGAGCTGAACAGCCGTCGCTCCACTGAAAACTGAGCCAGAGCGTGGTAAGGTATTGATTCGATTTTCTGACTGTACGTAGCTTCTCTTCAGTCTCAATTCCATCCTTGCTGCAGTTCTTCTTTCTTCTTTGATTTTTATGGCAAAAGAAACTTCTACCATTTGTTTTAATTCCCTTTGCAGGGTCTAACTCAGCTGAGGTTTTGTAAGCTCTTGCTTTAGCCCCACCTGTGCTCCTGACCTTCCACATATGGTTTCCTTTGCTGATCAGTCTTTTGTTCTGTTTCTTTCTAGGCTCCTTGCTTACACGTACCATCCTTTCTGAGGGGTTATTCATCTCTTTAGTGCTGGCACACTTCCATACCAGGTCTCAATAGCCTTGGCACTGATGTCCTGGCTGTGCATGTTTGTTTTCAGTTCATCTGCCTCTTTATCTTCCCTGTATGGATCGCGATCGGGTGATGCTGTGCGTTCGTCAGTCACCAGTTACAAACAGGCTGCTCCCTGTGTCTATGTTATCTCTGATCAGTGCGATGTCCTTGATGGTCAATGCCACTGCTTTTGCCAACTAGAAATAAAGGGCTGTGTACTCTCATGGCCAGCTACAGCTAATCTTGGTAAGAAAGGCTCTCATTTTTATAGCTGTTTGCAAAGTCAGTCTGAAAGGAACACCATATTGTTTCATATAGCACATGCTCTCAGATAAGATGCACATGGGCTCACCATGGCTGACTGGTCCCAAGCATACATGTCACTCGCCCTCTCCTTCCAGCTCCAAAGCTCAAGCTTTAACTCTGTCACAGCTGCTGCTGAATTGGCAGCAACTTTGGGCTGAGTTTAACTGAGAACTGGACTATATAGCACAGGCCTGGGAAAGCAGCACAGACCTCAGCATCCATTACAGCATCCCTGTGCCTCCATTCCAGTGTGGAAATCAGCTTCATTATTTAAAACACACACACCAGTTTTGAATAGCCATCTTTGGGAAAAGGGTCCACATGGTATACAGTGTAGTGCAGCACCATGGTACGTGTGATATCCCTTGGATTGTGTACTTGTTGGGATATCACATTCCATTTATTTCAGTCTGCTCCAAAACGTGTGATGTGCTGGAGCACTTATTTTTAATAGGGAAAAGTATAGGTAAATGCCAAAGCTGTTAGTGGCTTATGTTGGGCATTGAGTAAGAGCAGCTGCTGACGTGGAGTCAGTAAGACATAGGAGGCAGTTTCGTCAGCATTAGATTTTGGAGTTATTCGAGGCCTGGCTGCAAGAAAAAAACAGAATCCTCCCCTTTCCCCGAGCTATTGCTTCAGGTTCCTTGCTGATTCAGGCAGGCAGCTTTATATCACCTGCCTGTGGTTTCCAGTTGGACTGTTACCTGTGTGCCCAGGAGGGTGAAACACAGTGATTTTTCTGGAATGAATAATCGGGCACAGCTGTGGGGTGGGCCACGGGTTCTAGGGCAGGTCCTGCCAGCTGCCCTGGCTATGCCCACTTCCAAAGCATTGTTCTCTTTCTGGGCAACACCTTGTTCTGGAAGAGCCAAAGAGAAATTGCAGCCACTCCCATGCCTTGCAGTCCCTGGGCCTTGCACAACCCAGAGCCAATATAAACCAAGATTGAATTGTGTCTCATGGGCCTCTGATTTACTGCTGCAGATTACATAATCTTGTGCTGAGCAGGTTTTTATCTCATTGTGTAGAACACATGGCACTTTCGTGTGCCTGACACTAAAGGCAAGTGCACACCACTTTGCCAGCTGGGAAGAGAGGCACTTGCAATGCTGCCTAAGTAACGGGTGCCTCCCTGGAGCCTGAGTCCACAGCCTTTACTCATGTGAACAATGTTTCGTGAGTGAGGATTGCAGGTTTGTGCTTGCTGTTTGGGAGCATGAGCACATCCAGCTCTGCTTGGGAACTGGGAGGTGATGAGGTATCTCCATTAGGTCATGCTGTGGCCTGAACAGTTGCACTCTTGCTGTGTCTTCGGTATGTTTTAGAGCCCTCTGCAGCCCTTAACTGATCGTTACCCTAAACACTGTGTTAGATTTGGATTGGCAACTGCATTTAGCAAACACAGAAAAGGGGAGGCAGAGAGATGAAGCCAAGTTTCCTAAAGAACTCCCTGCTTCATAGTGCAGAATCGTAGCGTCATAGAGAAGTAGGACTGGAAGAGACCTGGAGCCGTAACATCTAGTCAGCCCCCGGCCTGAGGCAGGATCATCCCTATCCAAACCATCCTGTGCAAATCCATAATCTAACCTCTTCATAAAACTACCATCAGTCATGATACAAAACAAGACGTAACAGTTCTTGGGTCCTGTTTTAAAAGTGCTGAACTTTCATGACCTTTGTTTTAAGTCAGAGGGTGCATCTACACGAGACATTTACTGCAGAGCTCCCTAATTATCTCTGCAGTAAAGTCTTAGCATCTACACATGTTAGGCTGCAGGAAACTAACTCTGTTGTAGGTTAGTACTTATAAACTCAAGTACTGTCCTATGGCACCATTCTTTTTTTGCACAGCAGTGCACATATAGATGCTGATGGGGCTGGCTGGGGCACGAGGGTGCTTTAGCCCTGCACTGGAGCACCCTTGTGACCCAACCGGCCCTTCAGCACGTTGAGCCAGGTTGGAGCAGCCCCGGGGTGGCAGACTGACACCCGCCCCTCCTTCCTCTCCCCGCCAGCCAGGGCTGCTCCAACACAGATCAATGTGCTGTGGTCCCAGGCATACATGTAAATGTGGCACCTGGGAGCAATAAACTGCGGTACAATTTGCTCTGGAGTTTATTGCATCACATTAATTTCACCCAGTGGGAACTTCAGCGGCCAGCACCTCTGAAAATCGGCATAACTTTTGGCTTTAGAAATGGAAGTAACTCAGACAGGCACACACTTTAAATCAGTATGTCCACAGGCCATGTATTGAGTACAGGGTGGAAGTCGGGTATCCAGGTTGTAGCCGTATTGGTCTAGAGGCAAAAGGAATCAGAACTTGTGCCAGAGGTGATATCTTTTATTAGACCAACTAGATATTTGCAAAAAAAAAAATTATTTGCAAGCTTTTGGGCACAGGCACCCTTCATCAGGCATAGGAGATTGCAAAGATTGTAAAAGTTCTCCTCGGTAGAAATGCAAATTCATATTTCACAGGAGAGCAGAAGGTGTGGTAAAGTCTCCTGTTGGGTGGAAGGCAAGAGTCCATAGTAGGATGGAGGTGTACTCCAGGACTACAGCTCCTGGGCACTGTGATAGTAAAGAACGGGAGCGGTAATAAGAGGCACGTCCTGGGCGCACCCTGCTAGACATCTTTGTCTTTCTGACACGAGCTGTTGCCCACGCTGCTCCACGTGTGACTGCTCATGGCCTGGGCCTGTCTTTCAGTTCTGGGATCAGAAGCGTGGAGGAAGTTTGCCTGCAGGTGACAGACCTCCTGCCCAGCTTGAAGAAGCTGCGCAACCTGCTGCCGGAGCATGGCTGCCTCCTGCTGTCCCCGGGGAACTTCTGGCAGAACGACCGTGAGCGCTTCAACTCCGACCCAGATATCATCAAAACTATCCACCAGCATGAACCAAAGACACTGCAGACGTCAGCGACCCTCAAAGGTGAGAGGCCATAGCTCCTGAGAGACTGGGGTGGCTACCTCCGACCTGCCCTGCTGTCCTAATGCACCGCCGAAGGCCAGTAATACCCAGTTGAGTGGTAGGTTTTTTACCTCAGAGGAGCTGTAGGATGAGGCCACCCAACTTGGTTCATCTGTGGGTTTACATCTGCGTATGGACGCAGCCTTCTAGGTGAACTGAGGGCGACCTAACCCCACCCTGTCCCTCCTTACAGACATACAGGCTATTTGCACATAGCAGGCAACTCTGGCTAACCCCTTGGTCTCTATTACTCTGTTTGCTTGCATCTCTCACCCAGTCTCTTCTCTCCGAAGAGCCCAGAGTGTGTCATTACCACTGACGAGCGAACATTCATTGTGTTCCATACTGCACCTCCGCTGGTTATTGCCGCTGTTCACCCAGGGGGCTTATCTCAGGCTGGGATGCTGCAGGGATAAAAATGTCCCGCTCTTTTCATTAAGCGAATCAATCTGAGGCTGAAGTCCCGCCGTTCAGCGGTACCAGAATGCCAGAGGAGTATTTACTCCCTCCTGTCTAGAGGGATGCTGGTGAGGCCGGGAAGCTTTCCTTCTGACTGCCTGAAAGGTACCCTAACCCTCTGTCATTAAACAACTGGTTTTGTTGAGCACCTGGAACGTGTTCAGCAATGACAGCACATCAAAGGAGGACATGGCCTTTTCCCCTGGGAGCGCAGGTTCCAGATAAACACACAAAAGATGGAGTCCCCTGAGGTGGTGTTCTTTTAGAGCTGAGTGCATGCCTTAGTTGAAGCAGAGAAACGAGGTGTCATGATCTAAGGATAAAAGCAGGTCTTGGATTTCTCTTGGAACAAACCCTTTTATCCTACAATCCTACGGGATCCTACAGGTTCCCATTCTCCCACTATAAGGACCTATGAAGTACCCAAGGTAACACTTTCTCCCAGGACAATTGTGGCTGATTTGAATTAATTGCCATTCAAGCTGTGTGTATAAATGATTGTCCCTGTGCCTGTTTTGTTGCTAGTCAAAGTCCAGGACAGTCAGACCTGAGATAAACCTGACATCTGTTTTTAGCCCAAGTGTCCCTAGCAGGGCAGGTTGAGTCCTGCTAGAGCACACCCCATATCCGTCACCTCTGGACTGCATGTCAGTGCTTGGGTGGGTGTTCAAAGACCAAAGACATGCCTGCTCTGTGGGGGCCCTGCAGTCCCACAAGAAAGGACGTGTTCTCCAGCATCCTTGGTAACAGGATCTCATATCCGTGCAGGCCTCTTACCCACACAGGACTTAGCCCAGTCTCATGGTGTTTTCTCATGCTGTCTGTTGGTAGATCTGCTGTTTGGACTCCCAGGGAAGTACAGCGGGGTGAACTTGTACAATCGGAAGCGGGTGGTGTCCTATACCGTCACACTGGGTCTCCAGCGGTATGATGCCAGGTAAGGAGCTTGGCCTGGGCTGCTCCCACGTTAGGCCATTTTGCTGTTGGGCTTGCTTATTCAGCTCTTGGCAAGTTTGCTGTTTGTGCTAATGGCTTGTTCTTTTTCTGTATCCTGTCAGGGTTTTAGACAGAGCTGTAGAGCACTGGGAGATGGGAGTGGGATTAAAGCACAGGGTAGAATCCACACTTTTCCATCGGACACTTGATCGTAACATGGCCCACCTAGGAGTCACAGCTGCCAGCCAAGAACCCCTCTGGGAGGTCTTTGCCTGTCCACACACAGTCATTTTTAAATGATTATTTGTCACAGCTGCCAGCCATTGCCTTCGTGATGCTGCCAGTTGGCCTCTGGGAAGTAGGTTTGGTTCAGTCCAGTTTCTAGGCACTGGATTTCTGCCTCCCAGTAAGACCCATCACACTGGGCACTAATTGATCCCCTTGATGGCAACCCCAGCAGAGAAAGCAGGGACTGAGTGAGCTGGAGGATGAATGCTCCTCTCTACCCTACGGGTGGTTCTCCCAGGGAACGGCTGGCACATTGGCACACTGGGGGGAAGCCTCCATGTCCAGGATGGCCAGTCAGCTCCACTCATCAGTGCCACTTACGTAAACTCTGCGACAATGACCACAAGGGGCCTATCGCCACCCGAGCCCCTTCAGACACGGCTCTGCATGCGAGGAACGTTAAAATGATGCTTGTTCCTGCACAGCGCCCCTCCTTGAATCCTGTTTGGTGGCAATGTAGATCTTGCAAGGCTGTCACAACACCACAGTTCTGCAGGAGGTAGGAAGGACACATCCAGACCTGGCATTTGGGCCTGGGCAGGAGCCTAGCTATGGAGGGAGGCACTGTGTCCTCAATCTCGTTAGACTCAGGGCCCAGCTCGGAAAATGCCAGCTCTTAGCTTTCACGTGGTTTTTGACTATGGAAGAATACCAGAGCAATTCTTGTGTTGCAGAGCACGCAGCAAGCCCACGACAGGGCAGAATGGCTTTGACTGCATTCCTGTGTGAAAGCTTTGGGTTTGTTGTGTGAATTGTGTAGGGTGTTTGCGCACTGAATGGTGCTAAAGTTATGTGGTACCCTTAGAAGAATCTCACAGCACCCCGGGGTGCAGCAGCACCATGGTTAATTGCCATCCCTGGAGTAGTGTATAGGTCTGTAGGACTGCTTTACCAGCTGGCCCAGAGCCACTGCTCTCCCCCATCCTCCCCAGGGGCACAGCCCTGAGCAAGGATCCAGTCCTTCTACTTTTCTCTTGTGTCAGGTTCCTCACTAGCCTCCGGTCCCGGCTCAAGCTGCTGCACCCCAGCCCCAACTGCACCCTGCGGGAGGAGAACATCGTCCATGTCCACTTCAAAGAAGAGATTGGCATCGCCGAGCTGATCCCCTTGGTCACCACCTACATCATCCTCTTTGCCTACATCTACTTCTCCACACGTAGGTCCTGGGAGGGAGGGACCTCCCAGGACCATGGGCTAGCACCCCATTGCTGTGCTTTCCAGCAGACAGGTTGGCAAGGGTAGAATACACCTTGCCCTGTGTGTTAGAGGGGGCAGAGCCAGGCCTGTGGTGCTGCTGTTTCCTATCAACCCTGCAAGCTGGTGAAGCTGAAATCCAGCTGGGATGCAGTACTTGGACCCAGAGAGGGAAAGGCCCAATAAGCCATTTCCTTAGTCTAGGCATAATGGTTCTCTATGGCTTAGCATATGGGACTCTGCTTTGTTGTTTGACACGTCCCAGTATATCAGCTGTTCCTCCATTTCTCTGGGAAGACCTGTCAGCAGTTTGGAAAGTCGCAGGTCTCATGCATGTTTTGGGTTTGTGGTGTCAGAACCTACCAGTGAGCTGAGGCTACTTTCAGAGGTCCTTCCAAATGTGGCCTGGTCATTCTGGTAGTTGGGATAAAGATCTCTGGGCCATCCAAACATCCATCTTGTGTTTTGTGGTACTGCACTGCCATGTCAGCAGCCACTTAGAGCCTGAGGCTGGCATACGGGTCTTAAACCACTGGGCCTCAGGCTAGCAGGCTCCATGCTGTAGGAGGTGACCCCATGGATCCCTTCCTGCTGCCCATTTTCGCTCACTGGTTTCAGGGCCTTGTGCTCTCTCTTGCAGGAAAGATCGACATGGTGAAATCAAAATGGGGCTTGGCACTAGCAGCGGTTGTGACAGTGCTCAGTTCTCTGCTCATGTCCGTGGGGCTGTGCACTCTCTTTGGCCTGACACCGACTCTCAACGGAGGGTATGTATCTACAGCCAAAGCTCTTGCTAAAGGAAGGGGTGAGGGGAGCTGGGCCCTGAGTCTGTCCAAAAAACAGCAGCATAGCCCCTTGTTTCTCGGATCTAGGCTTCTGTAACCAAGCCTTCTCCTGATCACCCTACATCCCGTCACCCAGACCAACCCACCCCCATGCTGAGCTCAGGACCCATGCCTGCTCTAACACCAGCAGATCTGCCCGGGCTCCATGCCTGCTTAGGGCATTTCTCTGCACAGCCGTTGTTCCAGTTCTGCTGACAGTTCAGTGTGACAGCCTTTTATCTGCCAACACCAGCAGTCTGGCAGCCACACACCTTTTCCCTTGTCCTTACCTCCTTAGGGTTTGTGGTTGGCATGCCAAGGCAGGAAGGTACACCTTCCCTGACTCAAGCAGTTGGCCCTGGCAGGAGGCTTTGGCTCTAGGATTCACTGTGCTTGGCCCACTGAGGTGTGGGAAGCTGGGAGCAGCGGACCCCAAAAGCCGCTTCCACGAGGAGTCTCATTGGCTTTGGCTGCCCATAGGCAGCTTCTTGGCAGGGTTGGGACTAGCTTTGAAAATGACATATTTAATTATGTGGGAGACCTGTCTGTGCTGCAGGGATGGGGGCTGTACGTCTACCAAGATAGAGAGGTGCTCTGTAGAGAAGCAGTGTCGAAGCACTTGCTCAAAATCTCATCTCTGGGTTGTAATAGCCTGGACAGCAGTGGCCTGTTCTCTGATGTCTCTGTGGGGAAGGTCACGCTAGAGCACCTGGAGTCACATCCTGACTCCCCAGGTGGCTGTGCTCTCCAGTTCATTTGGAGGTGTAGGAGTAGATTGCATTGCTGGCTGCTGACACAGACCACTTGCTAGAGGCCCATGAAGTCTTCTTGGACGGAGATGGACACGTTTGCTTGTTGTTTTCTCAGAGCTGGCAATAGCAGTGGCCTGTCAGCAGGGGAGTTCCTTCCTCTTGCCATACCCAAGGGGTGGTAAAGGGGTACGTATTCTCCTCGCTGGGATTCCCACTCTTCCTTCTGGTACTCCCCATGCGTATAGTCACTAGAAGAGATACTGAGATGCTCTGACTTCTCAGGACCTGAACGGTGCTCGGCTGTGTCTTCACTTCCTCATATGCTGAAGCACTGGTCTCTTAGCACTTGTCAGAGGTGAGGCCATGTCAAGAGCAGACAGATTTGGGGTTCTCTGGGTGTGATGGAAATGATACCAGCAGACCCGGGAGATGACCACAGGAATGGAGTGGGACTCAGTTACCCACAGCAGCTCTTTCACTGTAGCCTTTTTTGATCTTCCCCAGAACACCTTTCCTCCCATTACCTGGTATTGAACTTTCCTGGATGGGTGACACAGTCTTCTCAGGGACGTCTGCCAGAGCTTCAGAAAGCAGTACCAGACCTGCCCATTTGCCTTAGCTTCCACGTGACCCTAGCCTGTTTCTGCAGCAGGGTGGCTTCAAAGGAGTGTTTTTGCAGGGCCTGTATTTATTTATCAGCCTCTCTTTCTCACGGATTTTGTAAGGTGCCAAGGTGCTGTTTTGAGATCATGATATAAACACCAGGAATATCTACAGCAGTCCATGTAGCCCTTTACTCAGTGGCAAATTTCATCTGAGGATTTCAAAGCACATTGTGACTATTAATGAAGTAGAGTAACTGTAGGAAGCAGCAGCATTGTCCCCATTTTACAGATGAGAAGGTGAAGGCCCAGAAAGAGTCAGTGGGAGGGCTGAGAAGAGAAGCTGGGAGAGCTCTGCTGTAATTACTGGGCATCTCTCTGAATGTGTTGGATCAACCAGTAAGTGACTCTTTTAACAAAAGGTCTGAGGTTAGAGAAGCACCGTTCCCCTCCGCTTGATTCAGGTCCACCCAAGTCAGTGGGAGTGTTTCCATTGACTTTATCAGGTGTGAGGTCAGGCTTTAACACTGCACCTTCTGACCTGGAGTGATGAGCTCCATGTCAGTGTTTCCATAGACAGATATGAGCATCTCAGAGCCTCCCCTGTTTCTCAGCCCTGTTCATACTCCTCCGAGGTGCTGTGTGGCAGCAGTGCCCTGTGCAGTCTGACTCTCCACCACTAGCGACTGGGGAGCTTGGGTTTCTATGCCTTGTTCAGAGAGGGCAAGCAGCTTGTGTTTGGGGAGCACGTACGCATCTCCTTCTCATTTACACAGGATGATTCTGTGTTGAGCAGGGGGTTGGACTACCTGCTAACCCTGGTTTTCCATCATTCAAGAGAAATGAATGTCTCCTTGGATTTTAAATTGTTATTTATTTACAGTAGTAACAGTTACTGATCTGTTTAATCTCAGTGCCTGGAGCTGTCCTGCATCTCCATTAGTTACCTTCTGCAGGAACAGGAACCACTGGTTAAGTAGGATGTGGCCGATGTGAGAGTTTATGGTTTTGTCTCTCTTATCTCCTCTCCCTCCGATGACCTCTGAAGGTTTCTGCGCAGCTTATCTGGAAGCCAACGTACAGGGCATCAGCAGGTGCACTTCTGAGCCAGGCTGGATTTTTCTTTGCCTGCCCTGCAGACATCTGTCTTCTGTCTCTCACTCGCTCTCTCCTTCGTGCCTTCCATCCCAGGGGAGCCCACAATGCTTTTCTCATGTACAGCCCTGTCTGAAAGGACCACGCAGGGAAATGGAAATGAGCTTGCCTCACGGAAGCGCCTTTGATAACTAAAGCAGAGCATGCTTTCTGGGTCCGGGAAGTCTGGGGGTGGACGCTGTGCCCGTAGGCTGTTTGTGTGCGTGCATTTATTTCACTTGCTACACCACAGCTTTGGCAAAAAATGAAGTGAGCACTGTAGTCAGTTAAAACTGCGGGAGGATTGGAGTCTGTAGTGTAATTGCCAGCCCATGAGGCTGGCACATCTACTGAGAAAAATGCCAGGGAGTGTTTAATGGCAATCACCTGTGGGTAGGAGCCCAGATTAATGTCCCACCCCAAAAGGAAGCACCTGTCACATTGGGGCAAGGTCTTCTCATTCCTCAGCATCTGGAGGAGTGAGAAGTATCCCATGCTAAACCCTGGGTTTTTCTGTAGTTTTTCTTTCTGGAGAGCTGTCTCCTGTCCCAGTGCAGACAGTGGTTAGTTCATGAGAGCTGTTCAGAGGACCGGCTGAGGTGGCATGCCGGAAGACTTCTAAAGAGATAGGGGTCTGTAATTCCCCAGGGCATCCAGAGAAAACTGGTCAGGGAGCTCTGGGGAATGGTATTTTATGGATCTGTGGCAGCTCATGTTCCTTTTCCTTAGGCACTTTAAACAGAGAAGCTAATCAGCCCTGTCCCCACTCCTTTAGTTATTTGCAAAGCTGCACGTAGCTCGCGGTTCTGCAGTCATGGAATTTGCCATCGTTTCCACCCCCGTCCACGGACGATACTTTAGAGACGCAGCTTTAGTTACCAAAAGCTCTGCCTGCCCCTCAGAGTCATGAAGATAAATGTAGAAACATGCAAAAACTGAAATTTTCTGGCAGCTTTGAGCAGTGGGTCTAAGAACTGTTATCTCTGGGGTCCAAAGATACTACAGTATTGCCAGTATTAACCATCTAATTGGTTTAGCAAAAAGCAACGAGCTGATGTGCTTTCTCGCAGTCCCATCATCTTTCACATGAGCAGGGGTCCAGCTGCCCCTCAGCTTCTCCTTATAGATTCATAGATGCTAGGGTCGGAAGGGACCTCAATAGATCATCGAGTCCGACCCCCTGCATAGGCAGGAAAG